CAATGTTCTTCCGACGTCTGATTTCTTTTTAAAAAATGCGTTTCTAAAGTGCATAAACTTTTGGGATTGACTTTATAGCCAATACATCCTTAATAGTATCACCTCAGTGTTTGAAAGAAACGACGTATCGCCTTTCTCGCTCTACTCTCAGTTTTAAAACATTTCTCAGTCGCCCTATATTCCGTAAGTAGAATACGGATGCGCATAAAAAATTGAAATACCTTGCGTATATGAAATATCAAATCGCACGTAGCAACGTTTACAGACTTATTTGATCGTGAATGTGAAGCACAATTTTTAAATGATACTATAAACGTTTTGTTTTCCCGGAGAGATAAATATCGTTGGACGCGTGGATGTTATACGTATAATCTCGAAAACGATTAGCGAACAATGCGCATCTGAATATCGCATAATTAATCGTTAATTCGTCTTTACTACTGTCAATTAAAGCGTTTCGCGATTAGGATCGTGAGACACGTCGAGGAACGCGAAGACTAGTGTTCTTTCCACGACGTTAGGACGCTTACGTAAACCGGCATTAATAATTACGCAACTACGATAAATCCTGTCGTGGGACGATAAAGTTCGCGTTGCATCGATACGTACAGGTCGTATCACTATCTCAGTAAGATCGTATAATGAGAGAAAAAGAGAGCTCGATCCAGTCTTTTTGTGCGACTCGTTGAAAAATAACAAATGGTAAATTGTTTCCGGTGAAATACAGAAATTTCCTAAAGAACGTAAAAGATATCCAATAATACCGAGCTCGATACGTTTCGCGGCGGTAAAAACATCGCACGGTACGCGGGTCTGTTTTTATTTCGAGATCCCCGCGCATGATTGACACGGCACGACGATATTTCGAAACGTCCCACGATTTTATGCGAATCGATGATTCGATACGTGGGTACGATTCTCGTTGAACTTCGTGACACGTGTATATTTGTCCACGATGGAACGAGGGATTGTACCGATACCTGTTCGCGTTCCGGCCAATGAGAACTGTCCGGTGCAGCTGATGCTTCGCCAATGCAGTAATCTCTTACCAGAAATCCGAATTGGGTTCGACCCGTTACAATGCGACGCCCATTCACGATAACGGGGCGTAAATCAAAATAATCGACGATGAGAAGTTCTGCTCGTGCATCGACAAGGATGCTGGCTAGTAAATCCAGCTGTAACGATCCTACTGCACGAGCCATTCGTTCCGCGAACTCGTCCGAGTCGTACGTATCGAAACGACGGATGAAAATTAAGATCGACAGTACGCACGCAATTTGAGACGCGTTTCTCGAATTACGCTACGGAACCGCTGTTACATCCGAGCCGATGG